TTGCTGGTCGCGCACTTCACCCCATCAGAGAATGAATGGGAGCCTTTGGTCGATACGGAGGGTGAGGGTTGCCACAATCCATCGATTGTGGAGTGGGGCGAAGTCGATGACCGACGCATCTTTATGATGGCTCCCTGCACGGATGGCTCATATTACGTATACAGGTCTTATACGTCTTTGAAGGCTTGGCGTGACGGTGCGCCAATTTCCCGCGTGTGGGGCAACTCACGTGATAGAAAAGGGGAGGGCGTGCGAAGTGGTTTCATCACTGCAACCATCGATGGAAAGAAGGTGATGCTGCTCACCACGCCGGTGTATTCTGAGGAGAAGGGAAAGGGTCAGCTGCATCTTTGGATGACAGACAATGTCCGTGTGCACGACGTTGGGCCGGTATCCAGTGAAACTGATGACGCCGCCGCCAGCTCCCTGCTTTACAGAGCTGACCAGAAGGAGTTGATTTTACTGTACGAGAAGAAGAGCGGAGATTCATACAGTCTTGTCGCCGTGAGCCTGACTGAGCAGCTGGAGCAGATAAAGAGCGTGGTGAAGGCCTGGAAAGATATGGACACCGCACTAAAAAGCTGTGCTTCCACTGGCACTGTTGACCCGCGGATAAAGAATGTGTGCAAGGGCCCTATTCCCACGGAAGGGCTGGTTGGCTTTTGGTCCAACAGTTTGGAGGGGAATTTATGGAAGGACGAGTACCTCGGAGTGAACGCAACGGTGCATGGTGGGAATGTGGCAGGCACGGAGGGGGGTGTGAGGTTCCGAGGCGCAGCAGCGGGGGCGGAGTGGCCGGTGGGCAAGCTAGGGCAGAACCAGCCGTACTACTTTGTGAACAACGAGTTCGCTCTTGTGGCGACGGTGATGATTAACGCGGTACCGAAGGAAGCCAGCACCCCTTTGATGGGTGCGAGGATGAATGACAATGCCGGCACTGCGCTCTTTGAGCTGTCCTATACGAATAATGGGAAGTGGAGGTTCAAACTCGGTAACGCTGAAGCTGGAGAGGATGACGATGATGCCAAGTGGGAGCCAAACAAAACTTATCAAGTGGTGGTGGAAATGAAAATAAACGAGTGGTATGTGCACGTTGACGGGAACAATATATACGACTACGAAGAAGATGATGATGACACCGTTTCTGACGGGGTGGAAAGGCTGTTCAAGTCGCACCGGATCTCGCACTTCTACTTTGGCGGCGACAATGTGGCGGTAGGCACGACGACCAGCCACGATGTGACGGTGTCCAGCGTCCTGCTGTACAACCGCCTACTAATCTCTTCTGAGGTCCCACAACTTAATGCCAACAAAGTCGCACTTCCAACACCAGCTGCTGAGGAACCAAAACCTGAAGAGGAGGATTCTCCTGGGACTTCTGATGATGGTGGGAATACAGATTCTGAGACGCCGTCTAACGGCGACCTCAATCAGGAAAACCCTCCGAACACAGGTCTGAATGTCGCCGACATGAATAATGGTGGGGATGCCTCTTCTCAGGCACCGGAAATTTCACCACCACATCCAGCGCCCCAGCCCTCAACAACTGAACAAAAACAGTCACAAGAAGAAGACGACGACATATCTGCGGGGGAGGATGAAAGACCACTGCCATCAAAGGAAGAAGACGAGGTTGACGATAGAGCCATTGATGATGCTGAATTATATTTTGACGGCGAAACCCCTGAAGGAGTGGTTGATGAAGAGGAGCTGGAAAAAGAAGGGTTACGTGGCGATGTTGAATCGGAGTCTCCGTCGCCTTCATTGTCGAAGGTGAGCGCTGGTGCTGATGGACCCGGCGACGGTAAGGCGGATGCCACTGAGAACGTCCCTTCGCAGCACGAGCCCGACGGGAACCATGTGCAGCAAAGCAGTCAGCCTCAGGTTGAAAATGAAGAAGTGCCGTCAGTGAACCCGAAGACGTCAGTGAGAAGCAAACACTCGATCTCGAAGCGGAGACCACTGCTTCAGGTGCGGCGGTGGCCCCAGGCGGCAGCCCTGCTGCAAACAGTGATGCTGGGGATAACCCTCCGGTGCCTGCGGAGCCCCCACAACCACCGCCGCCGTCGAGTGGTGAGAACGACAGAGAAGCTGCGAAGGAGCAAACAAACGATAACGCAGCAGGTGCCGCTCTACCAGGCGCTGGCGCCGCAGCAAGCGGAGCTGCAAACCCCAGTGAGAAGCACACGCCTGGCCCCGAAGCGGAGGCCGCTGCACCTGAAGCGGCGGCGGCCCCAGGCGGCAGCTCTGCTGCAAACAGTGACGCCGGGCAGGCTCCCACGAAGGACACAAGCGACATTTCTCCGCCTGGCGCAGTTGGGGTGCCTAATGGAGACAATAAGAAGGCATCGCAGGGAGCCGACAACGCCCCGGCTAATAAAACTGCTCCACCCAAACCTCAGGCGATTCCCCCGACACGCAACGCGGCATCGCTTTCTGGCAACGTCTCCGCTACCTTCAAGAACATTACTGGCGTGAGGCTCGATGAAGGGAACAGCGACAACGCCGTGGGTGGGTGTTTGCCTCATGTAGTGCTGCTGGCCCTGCTGGGGCTGTGTGGCATTGCCGCCCTCTCCGCTGCGTAAAAGGGAGAGTGCAGAGTTGCGACTCCGCTTGGAAAGTGTGTGCTGCAGTACCGACCGCGACTCGCTTCATTAACACATCTTTTTTGTTTGCTTTTGTTTTTCTTGCTGCCGGTGGTTTGCTGGGATCATCGGCATCTCAGTTTTTTTTTCTTTCTTTATTTGCTTTTTGCTCCAATGATCGTTTGCCGTACGCGCTGTGCCATGGGTGGCGGCCGCATTGCTGTGCGCCCCACTGACGACGCAGCCAACGCGTTGAAGCGCAGGCCGCATGCCGCACGAAGTGTGGGAGGGATGTGCAGGCTCGTGGAACACGGCGGTTCTTTTTTTTTTTGCTTCAGCGCAGGAAATAAATATACACAAACGGTCCTCTTGGGATTTTGGGCACGCAAGGAAAAGACGCTTGCCGAAGTAATTTATTTATCTTTTGTTTTTGTTTCCGCCAGGAATTCTTCTGAGCTTCCGCTTTAATTTTGTTTCTTTTTTTTTGTTTGTTAAATCACTGCGGCTCACTTTTAGTTTGCGCCGTGC